TATCATTGGGTGCTTGTACCTGAACATGATGTATCTTAGTTCTTATTTTTTCTCCCATTACCTGTGCACCCTTCACCCCCACCACCCTTCCCTATTTACACAGACTGTTTCCATTTTTTGTTTTCTTTTCTCATAATTTTTCCTTTTCCTTCTTCCCTTTCCCCTTCCCCTCCTGCCACCCCTACACCTTTGGACCTTTTCCTATTTCAAATTATCAATTATTCATTTTAATCGAGAAACTGTATTTTTTTTCTTTTTGATACCAGGGATCAAACTCAGGTCCTTGCGCTTGCGAGGCAGGTGACAGAACCACTGAGCTAAATCCCCGGCCCACGAGAAAATGTATTTTAAACAGGTCTTTGATAAGAAAAATCAAAGCCTCTAGTTTGAAATAATAGACCTTTATAATGAAATTAAAAAATAAAAAAGTACTTTAATAGTACAGTTCAAATTAGTCCAAGTATTAATAAATATGAATATTTTAATAACTCAAAACTATTTACCAAAAAAAGAAAACACTTTAAAAATACTGTACTTTCCTGAATTGGTTAACTATACAACTTGTAAATTTTGCTTGTAGTATCTATTTGCTAGCTAATCTTTTTTCATAAAACATAAAATTAAACACTGTGGCAATGACAAATTTCTAAATCAATTCTCAGTAAATTTTAAATTCATAACCATAACCATTTTGCTTAGTATATCATTAATATATTACATGCAATCTCTAAGCCAGTTATTCTGATATTTGAATATATAGTCAAACGCTTACAAAAATTAATTTTAAAATATCCAAATATACAAATTTGGAACAAGTTTATAGTGAAGACCTTAAATGACTAATTTCCAGATTTCAACAGATATAGGTAACTAAAAGGGTCATAACTAATTCTTATTTATATATTTGAGATGCTTTTTAAAAATATACCTTCAGTGAATATATTAAGTTTGATTTTATTATTAAGCATGATGTTTTAACATACAAAATAAAATACCACAGAAGACACAAAAAAGTATTATGGTGACTACCTTAATAGCTTGTTCAAAATTGAGAACTTTTCGGTTAACCTGGTTTCCAATCATGCCAGCATCCATCTTGGGATCCATCATTTCAATAGCAGACATGGCTTCAAAAAGACCAAATCTGCAAATAAATTAAACCCCACAAATTGTTTCTGCACCTAAATTCCCACAACAGTAAAGAAATCATCAGTAATTTTAACAACTACAGTATTCTACATATTTAGTCTTTCTAACTTGCCAACACTTCTATCTTGATTAACCAACAATGAAAATTCTTTCACGTACTTGCCACTTAAATTATTTTTACATGCACAGTGGGGAAGAAAAGAATTGAAATGTTTTTTATACATGCTTCAAAAACACTGTGCATTAAAACCAGATAGGGTGGCACATGCCAGTGAGCCCAAAACTCTAGGAGGCTGAGGCAAGAGGATCACAAATTCAAGCCCAACCTGGGCTAGCTACACATACTGAGGTCAAAGCCAACTTGAACTACATAGCAAGATCCTGTCTCAAAAAAAGGTTGCACATTAGAAACTTTTGGGAATAAAAGGGATAGATCATAGATTTCACTTTGTCTTCCTTTAATTTTCTATAACATTCAGAAAGTCATAACCAGAATAATCATTACAGTGTGTAAGTTTGTTTTCATTTGCTTCATGTCTTAAAAGAATTAATCTGACACCTTCAACCTACAATATCCAAAATTTTGACAATTATATCATGAAAAATAATCTAGAAATCTCAATGCTCTGGTATGTTTGTAATTCATCTCAAAAGTGGATAGTTGCGATATACTATAAACTGTAAGTATAGCATTAACTGAGATTTGCTTCAAGAAATAGGAATGGAGGGGCCGGGGATTTAGCTCAGCGGTTTTGCCACCTGCTGCGCAAGTGCAAGGACCAGAGTTCGATCCCTGGTACCCCCCCCCAAAAAAAAATAGAAGTGGAAAAGACTGAAAGAAAGCTCAAGCAGCCTGCCATCAAGCTACTGACTTCATACTAAGTCATCAAACTACCGAGAAAATAAAGACACCTAGCCCATCATACTAAGTAATTTCTTTCAGATAAAAAGCAGGAATAAGATATCAAAAAGAGCTTTACAACAGACTCTTTTCCCTGCAGTCCCTCTACACTTCTCATGTTTCAATCTAAGATACTCTGACAATACGATCATATGACAATATTATTAGCCAATCTTATATTAATGAACCTTTTTTAAAAATTATTTTTATTTTTTTTGGTACCAGAGATCAAACTCGGGTCCTTGCACTTGTGCAGCAGGCAGTGAAACCACTGAGCTAAATCCCCAGCCCTCATATGACAATATTATTAAAGATAATTCTCAGGCTGGGGGTTTAGCTCAGTGGTTCCGGTGCCTGCCTCACATGCGCAAGGTCCTGAGTTCAATCCCCAGTACCAAAAAAAAAAAAACCAACAAAAAAAAAAGATAATTCTCATCTACAAATCTGACAAATGTTAACCAACACCCAAATGGTATTTTTCAAAGAACTTCCCAAGCCAAAACAGAAGTATGCAAGAATAGAAGAGAATTTTGTCAATAAAAAAAACATAGTCACCAAATACCACACAATACTAAAAAGCTACAATAATTAAAGCTTGGTGGGTGTTATATACATGTGCCAACACCACACAGTTTAAACATTATGTACTATAAACATGTACTAATAAAAAATAATTTCTTTTTTATAAGTATTGCCATAAATATGATCATAATCATCATGGAGAATTTATACCTGTATATAATATTATCTTAATTTTTTTTTCACATTCCCCTTCTTTCTTCAAACCTTTTTCACATTCCCATTTACAAAAGCTACTCCCATTTTTTCCTTCCATTCTTTTTTTTTAATCCCTTTTCCTTTCCCTCTCCCTCTCCACTCCCTTGTTCCCTTTCCTATTTAAATAAGTTCTTCCTAACTTTCAAGTATCTGTCATCCACTTTGCTCCTTATTTATACTTTGGGTTTCTTTTTTTTTTTTGGTACCGGGAATCGAACTCAGGACCTTGTGCTTGCAAGGCAGGCGCTGAAACCACTGAGCTAAATCCCCGGCCCAGGTTTCTTGTACAAGAGAAACAATGCAATATTTAAACTTGTGTATCTGATTTATTTCACTCAAAATTTTCTCTTGAGATGCATCCATTTCCCTAAAAATGTCTCAAGTTTATCCTTCTTTATGGCAGAATAGAACTCCATTGTATATAAATATCATATTTTATTTATCCCTTCATCCATTAATGGGCAAATGGGCTGTTTCCAAGATTTAGCTGTATTTTAAAATTTTTTTAAACTATTCTAGAACACAAAAATCAATGGAAAAGAATATAAACAGTCCAAACACAAGTTTTTATGTTACTGTGTACAATAAAGGTGGAATTTCAAATCAATGGAAAAACAGATTAGTTAATACTGTTGAAGAAAATGGCTAAGCATCTGGAAAAAGTTAAATCTTTGATTCATATAATTTTAAAAAATAAACTCCAGGCAGATTTAAATTCTAAAACAAAAATAAGTAAATTAAAAACTACTCCCTATCACCATGCACTAAACTAATATTGAAGTGGTTCAAAGATCTAAATATTAAGACAGCAACATTAAATTTGCTGGAAGATAAGTTAAGCAGTACTCTTGAAGACACTGGCATAGGAAAAGACTTTATGAACAAAACCTCAGTAGCATGGGAACTAGCACAAAGAATCAACAACTAGGATCTCATCTTATTAAAAAGCTTCTGCACTGCAAGAGAAACCACCAACAGAACTAAGAGACAACCTACAATCTGGGAGAAATTTTCAGCAGCTGCACCTTAGACAAAGGACTACTATCTAGAATATATAAAGAACTGAAAAAAAATCAGACCCCTAAAATTCAAAGACCCAATTCAAAAATGGGCATCCAAAATGAACAGACATTTCTCAGACAAAGAAGTAAAAGCAGCAAATAAATACATGAAAAAATGTTCAACATCACTGGTCATTTGAGAGAAGCGGATGAAAACAACACTGAGATTCCACCTCACTCCAGAAAGAATGGCTGCTATCAAGAAATCAACCAATAACAAATGCTGGTGCGGGTGTGGGGAGAAAGGAACCCTTCTCCATTGTTGGTGGGAGTGTAGACTGGTGCACCCACTGTGGAAATCTGTATGGAGATGCCTCAAAGAAGCAGGGCTAGAGGTCCCATATGACCCAGCTATTCCCCTGCTGGGTATCTTCCCCAAAGAATTAAAAGAATCATACCACAGCAATATACATGCACCTATGTTTATAGCTGCACAGTTCATAATAGCTAAAGCTTGGAAACAGCCCAAGTGCCCATCAACTGGAGACAGGACAAAGAAAATGTGATTTTTTTATAAAATGTAGTACTACTCAGCCATAAAGAACGAGAAACTAGACACATTTATAGCTAAATGGTTGCATATTGAGGCTATCCTCTTAAGTGAAATAAATAGGACACACATGTGTAAATACCGAATAGTTTCTCTAGTGTGAGAAACTAAAAGTGTAATTAAGGATTAAAATGATTAAAATGAATAATTGATAATTTGAAATATGAAGAAAAGGTCCAAAGGGGTAGGGGCAGCGGGAGGGGAAGGGGAAAGATCAGGTTACAGGCTGGAATCTGGAAAGAATCCATATATAGATTGTGTTTAAAACTATAGGAAGAAATGTAGATAGAGACTAGGCTGGAGCTCATCGTTGGGTTGGGAAGGAAGAGTCACTGAGATCAAAGGACAGAAGTGTGTGTTTCCAGAAGAAGCACATACAACTATGTATAGTACACAGTACTCGATAGTGTGATAAATGACTGTTACTGTTTTAGGTACTTATCATAACATGCTGTGTTTTTCATCTTTTAGAGCATAATCCTACTGATATAAAAGAATTTACTCTTTTATATAAGTAAAACAGTGTGCTGCTATACCAGTGGTAGCCTCACGTATCTCGTGTTTAACTGAGTATTTGGATAATATCAAGGGGCCATCACAGGTGACTGACGTATACCTTCTCAGTTTGCACTTGGAAGTTGGCACTCTGTGTGGTACTTTACGATACACATGACTGAAATTGCCTAATAACATATTTCTCAGATTATATTTCCATCATGTGTCATATGACTGTATCAAATTTAAATTTAAAAAAAATTGGCCTATGTGAAGTCTACTAGTTAATTAGAATTTTTTTTCCAGACCACCATTTGTCCAATATTAGTTTTGAAAAATCTTTCTAAAACAAATCACATCTTCTGATGTCTTCTTTTTTTTGGTACCAGGGATCGAACTCGGGTCCTTGCGCTTACGCAGCAGGCAGCGAAACCACTGAGCTAAATCCCCGGCCCCCTTCTGATGTCTTCTTAATGCTTGAGACTTTTTTTTTAATTATATGGAAAAATGTTTAAGCACTTTTCAATTTTGCTTTCGTTGAGTTCTATTATATTTGAATATTATTATAGTTTTTTTTCCCTTGCATTGTTTTTCTTTGAATAATTTTAATTTTTGTATACGTGTGTTTAGTGAACAATAATAAAGTTATACATTAAAAAAACTACTCAATAATTTATAAAGCTATAAAGGAAAAAGTTGGTAACAGCAACTGTGGAAATACTTTAAATTCTCAAAATGGATCAACATCAAATTCTTCACCTGGGAATTTGCTAGCAATTAAAGATCTGTGGTTCCACACCAGACCTACTAAATATGGAACTCTAGAGGCACAACGCAGCAATGTGTGTTTTTTAAAGCCCTCCAGATGACTCTGATGTACCCTAAAATTTGAGAAGGAATTTTAGGCCCTGGACCCCCAGTGTCCAATCTTGTCCATTTATTAACTCAAAATTTCACATTCCTAACTTTGAAAATGGAGACTGTCCACAGTAGTACAGAAACTGAAGCTATCTATGGGAATATAAATATAATTAAGAATTTCCTTTTATTTTACTTATTTCTTGTGGTACTGAGGATAAAACCTTAGGTCTTCCGACTGAGATACAGCCACAGTCCCTATTCTATTTTTTATTTTGACACAGACCTCACTAAGTCACTAAATTGCCCAAGCTGAACTCAGAACTTGAGATCCTCCTAGCTCAGCTCAGACAGATTCCATTCATGTGCCACCACATCTGGCCTATTTCTTTTACAGTATTTTCTATTTCCAGGGATTCTCAATAGAGGTATTCAGTCACCTGATATTTGGTCATCAACCAAATCATACGTAGCATAAAACTGCTATCTTTACTTCAAGAAGTTGCACATGCAGTACATCTACCCTCAAGAAAAGCACCGTAAGTCACAGTTCTGCTAGGTACATCATTTTACTTCACAGGGTCAGCTGCCCCAAAATAGTTTACCAAAGTTAAAAATAGGTTCATAATTCATTTTTAATAGCTTTTAAATACAAATGTACCCAGACTTCAAGGAATACTACTCCACATGAGAAAAAAAATTGAACTATCACACCACACTATTTCAAAGGACACATATATACTTACAGCTTATCATGAAGCAGTTCTCCCAGCTTTAATTCTAAAAGAAACAGAGAAAAATCCTTTGAATATATTTATATCAAAATTTTCTATTCCAAACAGGAATTCTTAAAAACATAAGCATCTAAAGAAATGTGTCTGCATTGCTATAAAATTAAGAAATGGTTATATCTACTCAATAATTAATACAGAGTACCTAAAAATCAAGAAAACTATAAATCAGCGGTGGCAAACCTACACCACACTTGTTATTGTTTTTCTTTTAAGACAAAAGATGTTAATGTGGAATTGTTTTTTTCCTAAACTAAAACCTCAGCATTCAGGTTTAATCCCAGTGTTGGCACTTTGTGCTAAGTAAGTGGGTTTTGGGCTACAGTTTGGCACTCGGTCTCTAAAAGGTTCACCATCACTGCTATATACCAGAGTGATTCAGGAAAAAAAAATACAACTTTTTAGAATTAACAAGTAATCCATCATGAGCCATAATATTCCTCAGAATTACAAATCTAAAAATCATTTCTGAATATCACAAGTATGTTTCCCCTCATAAACTTTGGTATAGAATCAATTGCTGTTTCACAAACTGCGCTGATTATCCATAAACTAGGCTCTCACTGCTCTAGGAACAGTATCAAAATCACTTTTTAAATTCTGTTTTGTTTAAATAACATAGGAAACAGCCAGGCGTGGTGGCACACCCCTGTAATCCCAGCACTCAGGAGGCTGAGCCAGGAGACTGCCGTGACTTCGAGGCCAGCCTGGACTACATCGTTAAGTGTGAGGCCCACCTGAACTACATAGCAAGACTCTGTCTCAAAAAACTGATACATAAATAAATAGGAAATATTTGAGTAAACAGCTAATGAAAACGGTGTCCACTCACTATAAAGCAGCAGTCTTTAATCTTGCTGCACTTTAGAATAAATTGGGGAACTTTCTAAATTTTAATGTCCAAAGCACCCAAGCTAATGAAATTGGGGCATAGGACCTACACAGTGGTTTTAAAACACTCCAAGTGATTTCAGTGTTTGGGTATTAGGTGGGCACCACTGCTATAATATTAAGTAGCTTAAATATTAATAGTCAAATTCTGTGGAAAATGTAAAGAAACAGTTTCCAAAACTTCATCCAATTCTCCTAGCTAACTGTAAATTAAATTAAGTTCTAGGTACCAAAAGGAACAAATGAGAAGCATGCATAAAAACACGACAATAAAGCCTAATAGAGCATAGACTAATAAGCCAGCAACTATCAAAGAGTAGCTCAGGAAATCAGAAGTCTGTGATGCAGTAATACTAACATGATCTTTATCTTTTCCACAGTGTTAACATTTACACTAATGATGCAATGGGAGGAAGGATAGAAAAACCAAACCAGTATTGATGGGCAAAACTGCTGCAGCTTCAGCACAAATCAGGACAATGGTCCCAAGTTAACTTTTTTGCTCTTCCAGCTAAAAAAGACAAAATCTTTTTTCATCTCACTTAAGAATGACTTTGATAGCTACAATTCATTAAGGAAACAGAATTCAAAACTATAGTGGCACCACCTCACACCCATTAAGATGATTACTACAAAAAAAAATAGCAAATGTTTAGGGGAAAAAAAGCTACTGTTGAGGCTCAGCAGCATGTATTTTTTTTTGGTACCGGGGATCGAACTCAGGACCTTCCGCTTGTGAGGCAGGCAGCAGAACCACTGAGCTAAATCCCCGGCTCAGCAGTATGTATCTTAAACCACTCAAAGCAAAAGGGAAAATTAAATACATGGAAGACTGACTCAAACCATAGTTGTACTGATTCAAAACCAATCAGGGAAATGATTAAGAAACACCTCTCTCTCACGTTCCTTTCACCACACTAGCATTCACCAATCCAAACACATCAATTTGTCACATGTAACCTTCTTATTCCACTCTAGAACCCAGTCCAAGTCTTTATCACCTCAAACTAGGGTGGTGCAAAATCTTGCATCTGAGGGTATAGGCTCTTGCTATCCCAACAATCACAAATTATGCTTTCATACACTTACACCACCAAATTAAATACCCTGAGTAACAATGGATGCCATCACCAAGTGCTTATTAGAATAGATCAAGTACTTTACATCCACCATCTAATTTAATCACTTTATAAAGTAGCAGTAATACTTTACAAAGAAAGCTAAGACTCAGATAAAACTATTCAATTAACTAAAACAACTGAGTTGGGACTTTTGCCCATGTCTGACTCAAAAGCCTATTTTGCTATTTACGTACTGAGAAGATACTGTCCCAGTCACTGTATTAAACATCCAGGGCATCATACTTTCAATCTTAGACTCAAAACCCTTAAAAATTTCCCATGTTCATAAACCAAGTTCAAAGTAAGTAAACAAAATGAAAAAACTGAAGACTCTCCACTGAAAAATGTTCTGCAGCTGAACACTTACTTCCCCAAACATAAAGCTCTCACTAAACTCTGGCTCATAAAATTCATCGCAGTCTACAAAGATCCCCAAACCACCACTTACAGAAACTCAGCCTTTCCTGTAAGGCTCAACTTAAAAGCTATATACTCTTCCTCATTTAGATTCATGACAGCTCCCTAATACATATCTCTTAAAATCAGGGCAAGATATATATGATCCACTTAATCGTCTAAGACTTTTGAGCACAAAAACTACACTGTAACTCACACTTCTTTCTCCCTGAGTTAGACATATATGGGCAACTCCCAGTTTAATCTTCTTTCCATCTTACTGGGGCATATTTTAACTAGACAAGTATTTCAAACAGTAAAAGGGTAAGCACGGGATTTTCTTATACTTAGCTGGCTCCCTTCCCACTTGAAGCTGCTCCAAGGTTCACCCCTTAAAAGCACTATTCAAACAAACACACTCCACCTTACCAAAGGACCTAGGTAAGCTTCTTGAGAAGACAGAAGCCACCAGGTATGAATTCCTCCATCATTCCTCCCCAGCTACTTCATAGTTATACCTATATCTTCACCATCATAACCTCAGTTCTTCTGGGCTCAGTGTGTAATCCTGCTTTCCCCCAGTTAATTTCCCTACCATGTTCTAGAGCCCATCCTCTCTTTTCAGTCTGTAATCTTTACTATCTGTTCCTTTCTCATCAGTCTTCCTCTAAGGCTTTTTCCCTTCAACAAATGACCTCAATCTTTTCTCTAATCATTTATTTTCAAAAACTTCTTCAGCACCTTGTGACTGGAACTGATGGGGCAGTGGTACAAAACTGAAGCCTGAGTGGTAAGCAGGGACGAGACCTTATAAGGCCAAAAAGTGGAGTGGATTTTACTCTGCCTGCAACAGGAAGCCACTGGAAGATCTCAAGCAGGGTTCTGACCATTTTCAAAGCTCAAATATACAAAAACACTTTTGGTCAACATAATTAGTGTTTCCACAATTAGAAACTGTTTTAGAAATTGCTGAAATGCATCCTCTAACCTGTTACTTCAAGGTCAGGAAAATGTAAAGGGACACATTGTCTCAGCATCTCTAAACTGAATCAAACACATACTGGCTTAAAATGAAAGTTAAAATCACAGGGCAGAGAGTAAGCGTGGTTAACAAACTTGATAAGTTACACTTACCTGTTGAGTTTTTCTAATTTATCAAGTAAATTTACAAATTACCATCACAATTTCACTTCCCAGATTCTGAACTTCTAATCCAAAAATCCCAACTCACCTCGACAAGCTTCTTCAAAATCTTGGGTTATGTCCACCCAGCTTGTATTGCTTTTTTCCATTTTTTCAGGGACAGTGAGCTCCCATCCTGAATCATCATCATCCACAGAAGCTTTCATAACCATTATTCCTGTGAGATGGACACTGGTGTAAAAGAAAGGATGTAGTTTTCAGGACAAAAATATCTACAAAACTGTGTGTTTAAGCATCAAGTGAAAGACTGACTAAACTAAGCTGAGTGCTTCTGAGTCTGAGGATGGTCCTGCAAAATATTACCTCAATGCAATTAAATCTCATATTAACACGTACTGCGTCTCACTAATGCCCTTCACCTACCATGGCTCATACTTTGCTTTTCTATTTAAAAATGAAAAGAAAATCACAAACCATCCCACCACTGGCCTAAAAAGAACCAACTCCAGAGATTCCAACTTTCCACTCTGGCCATCAATGGTCCAGGAGCACTACTCAGGGCACCCTCTCGCAGCGGAGGACCGGAGCGTGCCGAGCGTGGGCTCGGGTCTCCTAAGCGGAGGGACCGTACTGCCGCCGCGGGTGGGCACCGCACGCCGCCCGGCCAGCCGGCCCGCCCCGGCCCACGGCGCGGAGGCCAGGACGGCGTGGAGCCGCGCGCGAAGGCGGGTTCCCCAGGCCCGGCGACAGGCGAGACTGGGCCTCAGCAGCCAGCGGCAGCCGCGCCTCGCCTCCTACCTGAGGCTCGCGGAGGGCCGGGGCCCCAGGGTGACCTGGTGTCCCGGGGGCCGCACACACGCGGGAACGGCAGCTCTGGGACCCGAGAGCCTGGGGGGGTTCTCAGAGGCTCGCAGAGGCAGACCCTACCTACTCCTCCAGCGGACACCGGCGCCGCCCAGCACCGCACGGAGCACGGAAATAACGACGCCGCCGCCCCCTCCCCTCAGCCCAGCTCGACTGGCCGCCTCCACGCATGCGTACGCCGGTGCGCGCGGCCCCGCCCCCTCTCTACTCCCCGGGACTTCGCACTCCCCGGCCACACCCCCTTCCTCGCCACTACCACCGTTCGGCTGTCCTCTTTCTCACGGGATTAGAAGCACTCGCGAGACCCTTAGGCCAACTCCTGGGTAGTGGGTGGGTCCCGGAAAGGGCGGGGCCTACGCCTCAGCCCGGCGGATGCTGCGCCGAGATGGAGCGCGGCAGGAGGAAAGATGGTACTCTCTGCCTGCAGGTCGCGGGCGTGAAGAAACGGACCGGGACAGTCCCGACCTGCCGCCACCGGACACCGAGTTTAAGTTTTCCAGGCACCGCCAGTGGGGTTCGTGAGGGAAAATTGAAACAAAATAGCTACAAAATCAAGACAGCCATGTTTTTCTGCACTCTCTAATGATTTAGATTTTTCTTAAACATATTAATAAGATGATGTTTTTAAATGAGGTTACGAAAATAGATTGGCCTGGGTAAGAAGCACATCTTGATCACCACATATGCGTTAGAGTGGCCTCAAGTTAAAAGACAATACCAAATGTTGGCAAGGTCACGGAGCAACTGGACTTGTATTTGCAGCACTTGGAGTGCAGAACAGTGCCATCATTTCGGAAAGCTTTTGTAGTCATATGCTTGTCCTGTGATCCAGGAATTCTACTCCTAGGAATTTACAAAAATGCTTGTACATAAGTGTTTATAGCAGCTGTAATTTTAGTGATCAAAAACTGGAAAACGCCCTAATATTTTGAACTGATGATTGAATAAACTTGGGACATACTCATGCAATGTAATGAATACTAATTATCCATAAACAGGAATCAACTAGTTGGCATGCAACAAGAATAAATTTAAAAATTCACTGAGCAAAGGAAATAAACCACAAAATATTATGATTCTATTTACATGAAACTAAAAAGGCAGATCTTACCTATAGTGACAAAATATATCAGTGTCTGCTTAGGGGGTCAAGAAAGGTTTAGCTTGGATAGAGCTTGGTGACGAGGTAATGGAAGTGTCTATATCTTGATTGTAGAGATGGTTATGTGAGTGAATACATTTATTAAAATTTACTGAAAGTACAAAATATGCATTTTATTGTCTCTGAGTCAAGCCTCAGTAGTTGATTTTTTTTTTTTTTTTGGTATCGGCGATCGAACTCGGGACCTTGAGCTTTCGAGGCAGGCGCTAGAACCACTGAGCTAAATCTCAGGCCCTCAGTAGTTGATTTTGTAAAAATAAAAAATGCTTCCAAACCAGGTATGATGACACACACATGTAATCCCAGCACTGGGGAGGCTGAGGCAGGATCTCTGAGAGTTCTAGGCCAGCCTGAGCTATATAGTTCACAGCCAGCCTAAACTACACAGGGAGACTCTTGTCTCAAAACACAAACAAGACAAAACAAAATGCCCATTAAGCAAAACAGCAGATTACAAAACAATATAATAGCATTGCCAATTTTTTATTTTCAAAAATGCATTAATGTATAGAAATGTTAAGACATCATCTAGAATGGTATTTACTTAACTGTTTTAATCTGTTTTGAGGAATAAGATGCTGAGCAAATTTTTGAGAGTATTTTTTTACTTCTGTTATTATAAATTGTAAGTGGAGGATACTAAGAATTGCTGTATGTGAGGTGATGAAAATGTAAATTAACCTGATTGTAGTAATTATTTCACAGTATATGTATCTCAAAACATGATTTTTGTTTGTTTTGTTTTGAGAGAGGGCCTTGCTGTGTAGCCCAGTTTGAGGCTCGAAGTGATCCTCCTGCCTCAGCCTCCCAAATGCCGGGATTACAGGCATGTGCCACCATATCCAGCTCCTTAAACATAATAGTTTGCACGTTAAAATAACATATAATATATATGTATATGATTATTTTTTCCAGTATGGCTGTGTACTGATTAATTCTCAGAAAAGACAGTCACCCTACTTCACTAAAGGATTGTGTTATAATTTTTTCAACTAGTTCTCTGTTGATGAATATTTAGGTTGTTTTTAGGCTTTTGCTGTTAGGAAAGTGCTTTCATCCATAGCTGTGTGTATAGGCCTGGTCAACTGAGAGAAACACAAACAGGTTAAATGGAAACAAAATCAGGTTGTACTTGAGAAGAGCACTGCAATAGGAACAGCAGAGCATTATAATGGGAATACTCTTGCCATTGTCTACTGTGGGCAACAGTCTTTGACCACTGATTAATAACAGGGCAGTATCAGCAAAGATTGAACAGACAGTTGCTGGGCAATTGCCCTCTCAGAAGTATTCTCACTATTTTTGTACATATTTAATTTTTTCATGATAAAAGTTTTCTAAAAGAAAAAATTTCTGTCCGTATTGACTTTATCTCACTAGAGGTAAATATGGTCATGATTCTGTGATATTACCATTATCCCAGCATGAAACGTGGCAACAAGGTATGTCAATGCAAAGTAAAACATTTTGTTTTGAAAAAGAGATTGAAAATTTTTATATTGTCTTTCCTTAAATGTTGAGGAAAAAGTTACTATTTGGTGACCTAAATTCTTTCAGTGTTTATTACAATTATTGCAACAACTATTTGTGATATTTGTTATATAACCAACATATCTTTACCAATATATCCTTCAGTAGGAAGAAAATTAAAATATCAAAATCCCTCATAATCCCATACTCAGAAATGATATTTGTTCATATTGTTCATTTATTTTCCCTGCGTACATATGATTTAACAACAGGGTTTTTGCTACATTTATTATCTGCATTCTATTTAACTTTAAAATGGATTGTAAAAGGCTGGGGATGTAGCTCAATGGCACCACAGCTGCCTGGCAAGCACAAAGTCCTGAGTTAGATTCCCGGTACCGAAAAAAAAAATGGATTGTGAAAATCTTACATATTAGTAAAACTCACTCTGGAATACTCAGACACACTAATTTTTACTTAGACACACTCATTTTAAGTTTTCCCAAAAGTCTCACTTATTTTTCCTTTTTGGTTTCTGATCTTGTCAATTTTTTTCTCACCAGTCTTGTAACCAATCATCTAACTCATAAGATTTATCCCATTTACTTATTTTTTTTAAAAAAAATACCTTTTTTAATGTCTTAATTCTTAGGGTATATTTTCTAATGCATTAATTTCTTATTTTATTCTTATTAATACCTTCTCAGACTGTATATTCTCTCCTAATTTCATAAGATTAGTTGGTTCTTTTAATTGTATCACTCATTTAATAATGAGAACATATAAATAATACCTCTTCCTACAGGCTTTAGTTATAAAATATTCCCATTTCTATTGAATCTCTCTTCATTTTGTCTCTCTTAATTTTTTTCCTTGACCCAAAGGTTATTTAAAATTTTGAATGTCATCATCATATTATGTATTTTTAATTTTACTGGCTAGTAACTAATGTCCCAATGCACTGAAATTTCATGATATATATGCTAAAGCATGAGTGTATTTTCCTTCATTTTGCTGGGCAGTAAGTGGACCCTTTAAATGTGACAATACACACCTTTTAGTTCTAGGAAATTTGTTTAAATTGTATTTCATTATGTCTTCTCACCTTTTTCCACAGCTCTCAATTTCTAGGAATCTTACTAGATTTCAGATGTAAGAGTTCCTTAACTTGTCCTTCAATTTTTTTCTCTATTTTAAATGTATATGTTTTGCTTTATTTGCTGGGTTTTTCTAATTTATCTTCTAAATTTCACACCAAATTTTTTGGCTATCACCTTTTAAGTTTTCAAGTGCTCTTTTTTATTCTCTTCTGACTGTAATAGAATACTGTTTACCTTTCATGTATGGATTATCTTCTCATGTTTATAATAACATTAATCATTTTCTCTTCCCGCCTATTTTATTTCATCTAAGTTTTGTTACAAATTACAGTTATCCTTTGGTATTCATGGATTGGTTCCAAGACCCCCTACAGATAAAATCTGCTCATCACTTCTATAAAATGATGTAGTATTTTCATATAACCAACACACATCCTACTATATACTTTAAGTCATCTCTACATTACTCATAGTGACTAATACAATGTAAATGCTGTGTGGAAAGCAATTATACTATAGTGTTTAGGGAATAATGACCCCAAAAAGTCAGGTTTTTGTTTTGTTTTTTGGGTTTTTTTTAGACTGCGCCTCACTATGTACTTCAGGCTGGCCTCAAACTTGCAGCAATCCTCCTGCCTCAGCCTCCTGAGTGCTGGGATTACAGGCATGTAATCCAACAAAAAGTTTAGAGTTTTCCTTTTCTGGATATTTTTAATCCTCAGCTGATTGAATCCATGGATGCAGCACCCATGGATACGGAGGGCAAACTATATTTCAGTCTCTATCTTTCATACTAAAGATTTCTTCTATTTGGTGATCCTTGGCTGATTGTCCAAAGGGAAGCAAGGGGTTCCAAAGGGTGGACTAAGGCTCTGTATGGTGGGGCCTGTCAAATGTTGGCTTCCCTAGATCTGGCTGGACCATTCCACTGGTCTTGTGTCTTGGGGTGGTTCAGGTTCCTAACGTATGTACTTCAGATCTAGGACTTTCAGGTATTGGCTGTGCCACCTGGGCACTGCAAAACCCTAGGAGACACCATACACATGACCCAGGGTATGAGGGCTCCTCCAGAGCTGGGTGTCTTAGCCCTGCTCTCCGCAGCTGCCAGCTGCCAGCCATTTGAGTGGAGGAAGACAGCTGGGAAGTAAGGGGTGGGCAATCTGAACAGCCACTACTGCATTTTCCCTGAATCTCCCCCTTCACAAGGCAGTCCTCTTGCGTCTTTTGGGGTGTCCCTTTCTAGGCCATGCTAACCCCTTGTTGCCAGAGAGGTTCTCTCCTTTACTCTTTTCAGCTTTGTGCAGAGTTTGAGGAGGCCAATAACATACCACATGGAACTAGGGAGCGGATGTCAGGTCGAAATGCTTCTTAAGCACACTCTGCAGCCTCACTCTCGCCACTTTTTAAAAAATTTTATTTATGTATTTCTTTTTTGGTGCCGGGAATA